ATGGCCGGCAGGGAGACAGGTCACAGGACACCGGGCGTGGAGAGGAGGCAAGAGAGTGTTTATTGTGGGGGATGTTACATTTATAGGGTTTAGGAGGATTGACAGAGTAACCAATTAGAAGTCTCAAGGGGCTTACAGGAACACCCAATCACAGGAAGAGGTTAACAAAGGCCAAATGGGAAACACCTCAGGACACCTTCCCAGGACATTCCTGCATGGATAACAAAGGGGGGTGCTGGGAAGAAGAAGCATGTGTTTGCAAAGACACCACCAAAAGCCATTTTAAAACCTGTTTAAACCACAGTTTTCCCATATAATGCAGGTTTAATGCTACACTGCTGCCTGCAAATCCTAATGAAGCTAAATGTTATCTTCTTGCTGTTACTTTTCTAGGTAGGGTTATTTTTTTTTTCAATCAAAAGGATGTTGTGTAATAAGTAAAAAAAAAATCCCTTAATTTCAAATATTTACATTGAAGGAGAGAACATGGGACCTCTTGGCCTATTAGGTAATTGGCCTCTGTTGCCAGTACTAACAAGTGCGTTCTGAAATGTAGGTGTTCCCTGTTACACACCCCTTCAGACCAACTGCCAGCCACAGCTACCACTGAGCTCAGCAAATAGCTCCGTAACACACTTCCAGTCCTTTGAATCACCTAGACCTTGCCTTGACAAAGCCCTTGAGCCCCAAGCATTACTTTTCTTTAAAAAAAACAAACCAAACTAAAAAAAAAGGTAGGTGAAGGCCTGAAGTCTGCCTGTGAGCTTTCCCTGCAGGAGCTGTGTGGACAAAATCTCGCTTCTGAAACCTTGTCTGCACAGGAGCTGTTATTTTCTCATTATGGGCATCAGCTGGAGATGTTCGCCTTTTCCAACAGCAGGAAAGAATTTTTCATTTCCTTGAGGCTGTCATGTGAATTGAATGTACAGAGGATTCAGGGTACGGCAGTGTTAATTACGCCCGATTATAACCTGACCGCCCTTCCTTGACATTAAATAACCCAGCCAAACGGGCTCCGGCCGGCAGCTTGGCAATTCCTCCCCTCCCCGTGCGCATGTGACGCTGTAGCTTTGCTTTGACGTAAGAGCCAAATGGCTGGGAATGCAGGAGCAGATACTGTGACAGAATTCCTCTGCCTGCATGTGTACCAGGGCGATGCCATAATTAAAGGAGCATGGTCAAGGCACAGGTATTTTAAAGAGTTCTAATGTGTGACACCCTCTTAGTAACACATTATTAAAACAGTAATAGAATTTTAGAAATGTAATTGCCTTTTTTTTTTCGCTTAATGATGCTAAAAATAGCTCAGTCATTTTGATTTCCTGGTCTCTGGCTGACAGCATGATTTTGTTTTCAGCAAAGCAAGGGAATAATAGAAAAAAAAAAAAGATGTGTTCTTTTGTAATTAAGTTCCTTCTAAAGTAAGTGATAAAAAATAAGACTGTTCATAATAGCTCTCATAAATCTTCCCCTTCTCCCTTCTCCTGCAGAAAAAAAAAAAAAAACGAAACAAAACAAAACCACTTAGAAGTTGTTGGTTTTTTTCCTTTAATCAGTGGGAAAATGAGCAAAGCTGGCTGCTGTAATGCTGTAGCTGGGAAGGAGCTTTAACAGATTTCTTAATGCATGGCATTGGCTGGCCTCAAAAGAAGTACTCTTCTGTGGCAAAGGTAAAGGGTTCCTGAGTGAAAGAGGACAAACCAAACCCAGAAGGATGCTGAGGCCCATTGTGGAAAGGGGACAAGAGAAATACTTTACATTTTTGCACTTGGGAGATGGTTGCCAGGCCAGCAACCCGTGTTGCACCAGGGACCATAGTAATGCTTGGGTCACCAAGACTGGTTCTCCCTGCCTCTCTGCTTGTGTCAGCACTGAGGAAGATGCCGGACACATGGCTGGGAGAGCCTGGAAACACTATTCTTGGTGTCCCTTCCACTAGTTTGGAGTTTTACTCTGACCAAATGCTGCCTTGTGTGTGGACAGCCAGAGCCCTTTTCAAGTGGTGTGCGTGCAAGGTGGTATGACCTTGGACTGTAAAATACACGTTCTAGGGGTGCCCTTAGGCATTTTCTTCATTTTCCTGGAACTAGTAATGGGTCTGGTTTAAAATACAGGGTGCGGAGCTGTGTGTGGGAGCGAGTGCCTTCAGCCTGCCAGCGGGCGGCTGCAGCTCAGCCTCTGGGGGTGCAGGTGCCCGCCATTGGCCCCTGGCCCCAGGGCTGTCCGTCGCCACGGCCGTCCTCCCCTAGGGCACCACGTAACCCTGAGCCTGAGAACGCCCCACAGTGCGGGACGGGGACAGCCGGGACAGCACAGGCCGCGACCGCCCCAGCCACTACATCTCCCGGCGGCCCCCGCGCCGCGCCGGCACCGCCTCCCGCGCACACCCCCCCAGGCTCACTGGCTGAGGCAGCGCTCCAATCCGGAGGCGCCGCCGGGCCCGGCCAGCCAATGGGGAGGCTGTTGCTAACACGCCGCAGTTATTTTTAGCACGACCGGCGCTCGCGCATCTTGCGGGTCTCCCGTCCCCGGCGCG